TTTGGCGGGTCCAGGCTGGGGATTCGAACCCGCCACCTTAGGTGTACGTGGCTGGCGCCTTAGCCGGTTGAGCTATAGGCGCCGAGCCGCTACTTACATTTTTAAAGAGCTACCTCCTGGTAAAGACTTGAGCTTGATCTAAAAGATACTTTCAGTGTTTCTCAGCTAACACAACTTTCCCACTCTACCTACAAAAATATAAAATGACCTGCTCCAGGAACCATTTCACCTGATTTTAGTCAGAGTTCTTTATCTCCCGTGTATACCCCTTTCTTCTGGACTCCAGGTCGGTCACCTAAGATCAGGCTCGCAGGATCTGGTTGCTAGGAGACCAGACGCTAGGAGGGTGGGGACGCTGCACTGCGGCAGGCCGGGAGTGAAAGCCAGAGGGGAAGGAGAAGGTGCCGCATCACACGGCGGCTGCCGCGGGTCCCGCTCCCTCTGCCGGGCAGGAGCTCCTCGTTCATTGGCTCCGCCGCTGTGGTGCTGGCCCGCGATTGGCCGAGCGGCCACCGCGGCGCTCGCCCGCCCCTCGGCGCTCGTCCTCGGCCGCCGCCCGGGAGAGGGTGGGGTGGCGTGTGAGGGCGTCGCAGCCCGGGTAGCGGGCTGGGTCGGCGCAGCTTCATGGCGGGAGCGCGGGTGGTACTGGTCGCCGCAGGTGACAGAGGCGCAGCAAGGGCCGCCGCGGCCCTGTGGAGGTGAGCGAGATGCCGAGAGGCTCGGGTGCCCGCCGCGGAGCGAGAAGTGCGGTGAAAGGCGGTACCGCTCGCAGCCAGCCGCTTCCCGCCGCGGCCCCCACCCACCGCCGGGCCGGCTGGGCCGGGGTCCCAAACACGCCCACGCACTGCTCGCAGCGCCCAGCAGGACCCTCGCCCGAGTCCTCAACCCGCCCGCTCCACATGCCCGCAGCGGGTCCCGCCGGCGCACCAGATGAACCCCGATTTTGCCGGCCCGACCGCGCCCCAATCCTCTGTCCCGCATCTGCCGCCGCCTGGTCCCTGCCCGGCGCCTTTGTCTGCCCCGTACCCCGAGAGCTTCTGTGCCTACGCAGAATGGGGGGCCGCGAAGGTCTTGGGGTGCCCGGTCACGCAGCACAGTGAGCCTCTGAGCCCAGGCTTTGAAGTGCTGGGTTTGGGATGTGATTTTACTTTCTCCCTGACCAGCAAAGCCAACTGCCTCGATATCATTGGTGGCCGGGAGTCCGGAAGCCTGGGCAGTAGGCTTCTCCCTGGTCCGGGATGACTCAGTGTTGCCGCTACCCTCAGTATGTCAAAGACCTCTGACCTGCCCCGCTGGCCCCCTTCTTTTCTGTCTTGCAACCGCTTAGGGGAAAGTCTCCGTCTACAATAGCCTTTTTCCATTTCGGAAGAAAATACCAGATTCCTGTCTGGACCTTTATCTGGTGTGAGAGCGACTTGGTCTTATTAATACATAAACCAAGACAAGGGAATTGGGGGAGGAATATGAATGTGCTTTCGTACACAAATTGAATTTTTATTTTAAGTAAATAATACGTTTTACTTTAAACACATTTAATTTTTTTATTTTATCATGAATAAAAGTAGATTTAATAGTGAGGTAATTTGAACTTTGAACTTCTTAGTGACACAGTTTTTGATAAATGTATACCTTTTTACCAGATCAGATTATGTTTTATTGAAGATTATCCATCAATGCTGTGCCTTTTACACTTACATTCAGACTCCATAAGATGATTTCTTGAACATTTATTGAACTAGAATTAATGCTGGGTAGTTTAAGTTTTCTCAGTATTATTCCATTGTGTAAGGAAGGTCAACAGAAAGCTTTTTTTTTTCTTACACTTTGATGATTTAAAGTTGAGGGGGGTGTTGATTACTTTTCTTTTAGAAATAAAGGTCTTGGCTTGGTGCCTGTGGCTCAAGTGGCTAAGGCGCCAGCCACATACACCTAAGGTGGTGGGTTCAAATCCAGCCCCGCCCCCCAAACAACAATGATGGCTGCAACCAAAAAAAAAAAAATGGCCGGGCCTTGTGGCGGGCACCTGTGGTCCCAGCTACTTGGGAGGCGGAGGCAGGAGACTCGCTTGAGCCCAGGAGTTGGAGGTTGCTGTGAGCTGTGATGCAACGGCACTCTGCCCAGGGGGACAGCTTGAGGCTCTGTTTCAAACAAAAAAAAAGGAAAGAAATAAAAGTCTTGCTTTGTTGTTCAAGCTAGAAGGCAATAGTGCAATTGCATCATCACAGCTCACTGCAATCTCAGAGTCCTGGGGTCAAGTGATCCTTCTGCCTCAGCCTCCTGAATAGCTGGGACTACAAGCTTGTGCCACCATGCTGGGCTAATTTTTTAAAAAATTTTTTGTAGAGTTGCTATGTTGCTCAGGCTGTTTCCTAACTCCTGGACTTAGGGAATCTCCCACCTTGGACTCCCAAAGTGCTGGAATTATAGGCACGAACCACTGTGCCCAGCCTTAAAGTATTTTTAAACATGTCTAGCATAAATGTATATCATATTTGAAATTAGTTTTTAAGTGTTTGATGTGGACAATGTTTTTGAAATTTTAAGTGAATGTTTTTGGAAGTGAAGAAAAAGCATTTGGGATTGTTGTTCTGAATTCCGTTTTAGACTTTTCTATTGAGGCCCACCAAATTCTAATAAAACATCCTGTGCCCTAACAAGCCTCCCACATTGTGTGGTATGAAACTAATGCATATGCTAGGCAAACAAGTGGAGAGGGATACCTTGTTCACTAATAAGAAATTAGATCTTTCAGGAATTTGTAAATTTAAAACTAAATTGGTTAATCCAGCAAGACATGATTTCCATATATCTTTGTACAATGTGGATACTTAAATATTTAAATGAGTTATGGTAATGCTGTGTGTGGAAAGTAAATAAGTTGTGGATCCTCAACTTTTGGAGTGGAATTCAAATGATAGGTTAAATCTGTCTTAAGGAGTTGTGACTTTTTTATTAATTAAGCAAATGTTTTTGGCACTATTTGCCTTGTTAGTCACTCTTTCAGGGAATTAATAACAGAAGGAAGGCCCAGCCCATCAGAGAAACTGTAGTCCAGTGGGTTAAAAAGCCAGACACCGTTGAGGTGGCTGGCACCTGTAGTCCCAGCTACTTGGGAGGCTGAGACAAGAGGATAGCTGGAGCCCAGGAGTTGAGGTTGCTATGAGTTATGATGCCACAGCACTGTGTCCAGGGTGAAAAAAAGAAAAAAAACTGCTTTCCCAAGTTTTCCCCAAGATTACTAAGACCTTCTCCAAGTCTATTTTCCGTTTTTGTTTTTGTTTTTTTTTTTTAATTAAACTTAGTTGGGGATATGTGAAAGGCATTTTTGGATTCACTCAGGTTTTTTCACCTGATTTTGATCCACTCATTAAAAATAAAGTTCTATAAAATCTGTTTTCTACTGGGTACATGGCAGGGCTTTATAGTTATTAGCCTAATTCTTGGAAATTTTTGTTTCAATAATTGCCAACGTAAGGAGGAGAAAGAAGATAGTAGTAGCCGGGGTGTTGGCTCATGCCTGTAATCCTAGCACTCTGGGGAGCTGAGGCAGGTAGATTGCTTGAGCTCAAGAGTTCAAGACCAAGAGCAAGATAAAGACCCCATCTCTACTTAAAACAGGAAATCTAGCCAGGCATTGTGGCAGATGCCTATAGTCCCAGCTACTTGGGAGGCTGAGGCAAGAGGAATGCTTTAGGCCAAGAGTTTGAGATTGCTGTGAGTTACGACGCCACAGCACTCTACCCAGGGCAACAGAGTGAGAATATATCTCAAAAAAAAAAGAAAGAAGAAAAACATAATAGTAGTAGTAATTATTTATTGAGCTATTGAGCATGCTTTGCATGCCAGACAGTGTATGAGGGTGCTTTATATATGTAGTATATTATTTAATCATCACCATAACCTCAAACGTAGGTATTATTTTCCTGATATTGTAGCTGAAACCATTGAGGCCCTAGGTTGTGCTGCTAGAAGGGTGAAACTGGCTAAGAATCCATAGCTGACTCTTTTCTACTCATTTTGTTGGCAGCATACTTCATTGGAACATTGCTGTCTCTCCTTTTATCTGTCATATTACTCTTAATGAATTTGTCTTATCCAAAGATCTCTGGAGTTGTAAGTGCTACTACTACAAGCATTATATAGTTCTCATTCTATGCCAGGTAATGTTTTTCATATATTGTCAAGTGTATGTGAGTTCCAGCCTGAGCAAGAGCAAGATCCTGTCTCTATTAAAAAAAAAAAAAGAAAGAAAAATCAGTAGGTAATGGTGGTGTGCACCTGTAGTACCAGCTACTCTGGAGGCTAAGGCAAGAGAATCAGTTGAGTCCAGGAGTTTAAGGTTGTAGTGAGTTATGATGATGCCACTGTATTCGAGCTGGGCAACAGAGTGAAACTCTGTCTCTTAAAAAGAAAAAAAATGGTGTGAACTAACTACTGTTATCTTTGTCTTACAGATGAGGAAATTGAGGCACAGAGATTAATCTGAACCAGATAATACCTTGAGTGGTAGAAACAGGATGCAGACTTGGACAGTCTGGCTCTAGAGTCTACACTCTTAACTACTACATTGTATTGGCACTGCAACAAGGTACGACTTACTTGGTTGGCGGGAAGCTACGATTTTCTTTTCTTTTTTTTTTTAAGACAGAGCCTCAGGCTATCCCCCTGGGTAGAGTGCTGTGGCATCACGCTCACAGCAACCTCCAACTCCTGGGCTCAAATGAGTCTCCTGCCTCAGCCTCCCAAGTAGCTGGGACCACAGACACCCGCCACAACGCCTGGCCATTTTTTGGTTGCAGCCATCATTGTTGTTTGGCGGGCCCAGGCTGGGGATTCAAACCCGCCACCTTAGGTGTATGTGGCTGGCGCCTTAGCCACTTGAGCCACAGGCGCCGAGCCGAAGCTATGATTTTCAAGAGCTCGAAGTTTTTCTTTCTTTATTTCTTTTTAATGTTCATGCAAATGTGTATAGGATAACATCCTGATGTTTACCACCTGATGTCCTATACCAGCTTCTGTTTGTTTATTTAATTTATTTTATTTTACGCTGGCTTTTTATGTAAACAGTTACATAGTACTATTCACAGTTAACATTTACTGAATGCTTACTACATCGTAACCCCTGTGCTGTTTTAAATATCTCACATGATCCTCAACACAATCCTAGAAAGCAGATACTATTATTTTATGGTCCATCTCACTTGTGAGGTCATTTTATTGTCTTCAAAGTGCTTTCACAAAATAATCCCTTTGATTCTCTATGCTGTCTGTCAGAGGTATTACCATCACCTAATTTGATTGCAGCAGTTCAGCAAAGTTAGATGACTAACCTTGACTGGCATGTAACAGAGCTCAAACTTAAACCAGAGTTTTCCATTGTACTGGTCTGTCAGTGGATCTCTGCTTTGTACTTCAAAAATAGAACACATTTTTCTTAGGAACAACTTAGATTTGGAGATCATGTTCCCAATCCAGAATTAGTGTTGCTCGAATCATAGATATGACTAACCGTAAACTTGTTGTTATTTTTATCTGTAAATTGTGTTCCAACTTCAGATATAGTGCCTGGCACATAGTGGGACTCAGCAAATGTTTGAATAAAATAAGTGTCTCATATACATTGATAGAAAAAGATTCCTTTTTCTCTTTGATACCATAACCTTCCCCTCCCACCACCTCACATTCAAAATTGTTTCATTGACTTGTAACTAAATTTAAAATGTATTAGAGGCCAAGCAGAATGGCTCATACCTATAGTCTTAGAACTCTAGGAAGTTGAGGTGGGAGGATTGTCTGCCTCAGCTGAGTAAGAGTGAGATCCCATCTCTACTAAAAATAGAAAAAGTAGCCAAGCATTTTGGTTGGGGAGGTTGAGACAAGAAGATCACCTGAGTCTTAACAGTTTAAGGCTGCTGTGAGCTCTCTGACACCATGGCACTCTACCCAGGGCAACAGAGTGAGACTCTGTCTCAAAAAAAAAAAAAAAAAACGTATTAGAAATAAAGTATTCTAAGAATGGACAAACAAAACCCATATATACTCACTACTAAATTGGAACTAACCAATCAGCACTCATGTGCACAGAGGGAAATAAAACTCAAAGGAAGTCAAGCAGGTGGGTCTGAGGAGGGAACGGGTGAAATCATACCTCATGGGTACTGTTAACAGTATTTGGGTGATGGACACACTTACAACTTTGATTCAAGCAGTACAAAAGCAATCTGTATAAACAAAACATTTGTTCCTCTATAATATTCTGAAATTAAAAAAGGAAGAAGCCATAGAATTTGTAGAATGGCCATTAGTAGGAATCGGAATACAGGAGGAGGAAGTGTTTTGTAATAAAGGGAACAAGTTCACGCTTGACCAGGTGAGCCTGTGGACACTCTTAACAGTCATAGAAGAGACCAGTGACCCTGAATCTTGAAAGACAGATATATTTAGGAAACTTTGATTTATTATTAATATTATTATTTTTTGCAGTTTTTGGCCGGGGCTGGGTTTGAACCCGCCACCTCTGGCATATGGGGCTGGCACCCTACTCCTTCGCTCCACAGGCACTACCCTATTAATTTTTTTTACTAAATCATAGCTGTGTACATTAATGCAATCATGGGGTACAATGTGCTGGTTTTACATACAATTTGAAATGCTTTCATCAAACTAGTCAACGTAGCCTTCACAGCATTTTCTTAGTTATTATGTTAAGACATTTATATTCTACACCTAGTAAATTTCACGTGTACCCTTGTAAGATGCACCATAGGTGTGGTCCCCATCCTCACCCCTCCCCTTCACTCCCTATTAGTATTCAAAGCTATAGAAACAGAATTCACTCAAGAATCCTATGCAAAGCTATAAACAAAAAACAATTTTAAAAAGGTCAGTATTTCCCAAATTTCATTATATTGAGTATCACCTTCAAAACTTTTGCCATTTTACTGTACTCCCTGTCCTATTGTGTATTTATTTAATAGTTTTCCTTGAACTTGAGTACCTTTTACTTTAATTTAAAACAAAACTTTATATCACCATTGTAAAATAAAATCAATTACTTGGCAAAATAAGTGGGAAATGACCACAAAAAGGAAGTATTAGGCTTTATCTCTCTGCCCTCAGCCATCACTCTCAATCCTCTTAGTATTTCTACAGATTTGAGTGTCAGTTTTACATGGGTTTGAATCCTGGCTCTGCCTCATATTAACTTTGTGATCTTGTATAATTTACTTAATTTCTCTGAACCTGTTTCTTCATCTTGTAAAATTGGCGAGAGCACTTATTTTATAGGGGTGAGATTAGAATTGATTGAAATAACATATAAAAAACTTAGCACAGTTCTAGGCTTCTGGTAGATACTAAATCATAACCATACGTGTCACTCCTCTGCCACTCTGTGACTCCCCTTTGCTGTAGCTTTTGGCCAGAACTATATTAATATGATGTTAAAAATTATCTGTTTGTCTGCCAGTATTCTTCACCAGACTTCTTAAGGCTAAATGTTTACTGAACTACATGCAGTTTGTAAAGCCATCTGGAGCCTTTTTTCCTGGTGATCCTATTATCTGAAAGTCTTGGACACCCTTGCCTAAGATGAAGGGCACTAGCTATTATTCTTCAAGGGTTCTGGATTGAGCTAGAGGTTATGATGGTACAAGAGATAGGCGGGGAGCCAGACAAAGAAGCATGGGAAGCCTCCACTCTGCAGGAGTCTTGTGTTGGGTATGCCTGTATGCGTGTTGTGTATGTGTGTAAGGATTAAACTTTATCAAGCCAGTTGTCACATTGCTTCTGAACACAAGAAAGAAGAGAAGAACTTTCCAAAGAAAAATTGTTTCAGACATGTAGAAATAATAATTGTTGATAGAATCTTCCTACCATTTATAACTAATTATCAGAGGGCACAATAATTATTATGCTTAGCCTATAATATCAGATTAACTTGATTTTAAATTTCATTTTATTACATCAGTGAAAATTCAGTATACTCAGCCTTCACTGTTTGTAGCATGGACATTCACTCAGAAAAAGAGAATGTTGCTTAGCAATAGAATGAAATTATAAGCCAAGCCTGGTGTCTCATGCCTGTAATCCTAGCACTGTGGGAGGCCAAGGCTGGTGGATTACCTGAGCTCACGAGTTTGAAACCAGCCTGAGCCAGAGCCAGGCTTCGTCTCTAAAAATAGCCAGGCATTGTGGCAGGTGCCTGTAGTCCTAACTACTTGGGAGGCTGAGGCAAGAGAATCACTTAAGCCCAAGAGTTTGAAGTTGCTGTGAGCTATAATGCCACAGCACTCTACCAAGGGTGGTGACAAAGTGAGACTGTCTGAAAAAAAAAGTGACTATGTCTATAGTATGTTTTATAGCTTAATTCTATCATCAATGAATTGCTAATCAGAGAATAATTCAGGCATGTTTAAAAATTTTTTTAAAAGATAAATTGTATTCAGCTTTTTTTCCTCAATGTTTTATTATAATTTTGAACTTACAACCGAACCAAAAAGAATTTTATAGTGAATACTTATATGCCTGCCACATACATTCTACCATTACCATTTTACTATGCTTTTTTTCAGAAATTTATCCATCTATCTATCTTTTTGTACATCCATCTGCCAGTCTATAATATTCAAATACTTTTATATTCGAGGAGATTTGGGCTGTATATTGTTTGTTTATTTCAGATTGGTTTTATTTTTCCTTAACATAGTAACAGGTAATTCTTAAGAATGAATTCTAATCTATAATTCTTAGGAATGAATTATAACTAATCTATAATGTTCTGACAGCATTTAGATTTCAGATTTAAATAAAGTTGTTTTTCTTTTCTATTTCTGGTTCCAAAAGATGAGTCGTGGGTATTCTGAAAACAACAATTTCGTGAATAATAATAATCAAATGGTTTTGGACATGATCCTTTATCCATTACTTGGCATCCCTCAAACCATCAACTGGGAAACAGTAGCAAGGCTTGTGCCAGGATTAACACCCAAAGAGGTAAGTAACAGTCCCCCTGATATCTCCTGAAAATAACAGAACGAGTGACCAATTTAAAGAATCAACAACTAAGAGGAAATAGCTAGTTGTGATTTACATATTCATATGCATATACTAATACTGTAGATATATACAAATTTATATTATTTGACTAGCAGCAAATTACATTAATTATATATTAACCCAACTAGTATGTTTAAATTCAGGCTTATCTTGTATGTTTATAACTGAAAAGTAACTAAGAATATCTTAATTTAAGCAATAGAAATATTCTATAAAATTATGGGGAGATGACATTTTTATAAATCAAATTATGTTATTAAATCACTTATGCTATGTTTCTCAAACTTAGATAATGTTGAAACCTTTCTAAAGGAAAAAAACTTGGAAACTCCTAGTGATTACTTTGATTATTTTTATTATAATACAAATTAAATATGCACTGATAATACAAGGTATAAACACACTTTTTACACAACTATAAACCAAATGTATATACTACAGACACAGATGAATGCTCAAACCGACATAATTCAAACTAATAATGCTAACTTAATGTGATGAGTAATAGTGTTTTGCTGAAATTAAGTTGTCAATTTTGGCTCGGCACCTATAGCTCAACCGGCTAAGGCGCCAGCCACGTACACCTAAGGTGGCGGGTTCGAATCCCCAGCCCGGACCCGCCAAACAACAATGACGGCTGCAACCAAAAAATAGCCGGGCGTTGTGGCGGGCGCCTGTGGTCCCAGCTACTTGGGAGGCGGAGGCAGGAGACTCGCTTGAGCCCAGGAGTTGGAGGTTGCTGTGAGCTGTAATGCCACGGCACTCTGCCCAGGAGGACAGCTTGAGGCTCTGTCTCAAAAAAAAAAAAAAAAAAAAAGTTGTCAATTTTAACATAAATACTATATAGTCTATTCTGGCATAGATTCTTTTTCATTGCCATGTGCCTTTCAGAGCCTTCTTTTTCTTTTTTTCTTTTTTAGTTTTTTTTTCTTTTTAAGAGACAAAGTCTCTGTCATCCAGGCTGTAGTGCAGTGACACAAACATAGCTTGTTATAGCCTTGAACTTCTGGGCTCAAGCATTCCTCCTACCTCAGCCTCCCAAGCAACTGTGACTATGCCATATCCAGCTAATTTTTAAATTTTTTTGTAGAAACAGGGTCTGTGTTGCCCAGTTGGATCTTGAACTCCTGTCCTCAAGCATTACTCCTGCCTCAGCCTCCCATAGTACTGGGATTATAGGCTTGAGCCATGGTACACATGTGGCCAAGTCTTTATTATTTCATTATTATTTATTTATTTTTATACAGAGTCTCACTCTTTTGCCCTGGATAGAGTGCCATGGTATCATCATAGCTCATAGCAACCTCAGTCTCTTGGGCTCAAGCAGTCCTCTTGTCTCAGCCTCCCAAGTAGCTTGGACTACAGGCACCTGCCACAACACCCAGATAGTTTATCTGTTTTTAGTAGAGACTGAGTCTGGCTCTTGCTCAGGCTAGTCTTGAACTCCTGAGCTCAGGCAATCCACCTTGGCTTCCCAGAGGGCTAGGATTATAGGTTGGAGCCACCCAGCCTAAAGTCATTTGTTATTTCAATAAAGAAAATCCATTGTCACCAGTTAGATGGTCTTTGGTTTGCTTTCCCTTGAAGGTTAGGTTTTATTCCTGGTGGAATCTCAGTTAATAGAAAAATAAAAGCCAAGTTTTTAACTAAATTATTAAAAATATCTGGTTAAGGCTTGGCGCCCATAGCACAGTGGTTATGGCGCCAGCCACATGCACGGGGTTGGCAGGTTCGAACTCGGCCTAGGCCAGCTAAACAACAATGATAACTGCAACAAAAAAAGAGGTGGGGGTTGTGGCAGGTGCCGATAGTCCCAGCTACTTGGGAGGCTGAGGCAAGAGGATCACTTACGCCCAAGAGTTTGAGGTTTACTATAAGCTGTAACACCACTGTGCTCAACTGAGGGCGACATAGTGAGACTTTGTCTTTAAAAAAAAAAAAAGTACCAGGTTAATATGTGGTTGACTAATGTACTCTTCATCTTTGTATAACAGCATAAACATACTTTTTCTTTCAATTAAAGCATGTTAAAATAAAAATCTTCCCTGAATCTTAAAAGAGAAAAAATAAGCTAGATTCTTTTATGTAATGAAACATGTATAGATTTTCTAGATATTACTCAGCAGATTAATATTCACTTATAAAAAGTAATTATAGGCTCGGCGCCTATAGCTCAACCGGC